TCTTAAAACAATGTTGTTGGTGCTGCCAAAATCATATATATTTTGGCACGTACTTGCAGACCAAGCATTACTTATCGTATCAATCTAAGATTCTGTGATAGTTTTTTTCCTATGAAGCAAACTTCACCCATGTTCAATGAAAGGTAAAGGCTGGAGTGCTAAATGTACCCAGAAGCAGTCCTGGGGCCATGATGGGGGGAATATTTGAAAACTAAATACATTAGTTCCCTCACTCTTGACGGGCTTAATTTCGAACATGTTCACCATGGTTTCCCAGAGTTCCCATCAGACTTTAGCTCCGCTGCCAGATTAACAAAACACCTTTTACTGGCTTCAGTGCTATCCCTTGTATCCCTCCTCCTCTTCCCTCCAAGTGTTTCCTGGTACCACTCATGTAATAGTTAGGTTTGGTGTCAACTTGACTGTGCCAGGATTTTGAGCAGTTTTATAGGTGAGACCTACTAATTCCCCATGATGTGCCTTAAAAATTATAATCAATTTCGCAATGGAATCTGCTGTGAGCAGCCAAACAATTATCAAAAAGATGGATGCCACATCCTTATGTATAAAAGTGCCCTGATGCAATTTAATGATCGTTTTCTTGGGTGTGTGACCCACTTCCAAAATAAGTGGATGCAGTGGAAAAGCTTGTGTTTGCTTTCTGCTGGGTCTAGATCCTACACCTGGCTCATGGAACACCAGTTCTTTGGACTTGAACCAACACCCAGAATTCATTGACTACCAATCTTAAGAGTTGGCAGTACCCTGTGATCTGAGCAGCCGACCTTGGGTTCATTCCCCCTGCAGCCACAAACCTGACTTTCTAACCTTAGAATCATTTGTCTTTGTAGTCACTTTGGCTATCTGAGTTAGGAGAAGCCTCCAGACTAACATCTGATCCAGAAACTTGGAACTTGCCTGGACTTGGACTTTCCCACTTTTACAACTGTGTGGCCCCATTTTCTTGATATAAATGACTTTGCACACACACACACACACACACACACACACACACCTATTTATAAGTGTTATGGGTTTTGCTTCACTAGTGAACTTAGCCTCAGACAACACCTTCCCCAACCCACACCAACGCCTATATCAAAACTATTGGTACTTTGAGCTTTAGGTTGATATATGCTTCTCTGTCAATTCAAAGTAACATCATATTTAGTCCTTTTTCTTTTATGCTAAGATGAACTGCATTTGTATTAAATATTCTAGGGCACATATCCTTCTTACTGATTCCAGAGAAACATAAGGATCACCAAAAGTCACCGTTAAGAGAAGTCCTCAAATCATTTGAATATCTATCTCGTATAAATATGACTACCTTAATAGTCAGATAAATCTTAGCGTCAAGAGAAAAAGTGTATAGAAAATAATCTGGCTAGCCTTTTTGGTAAATAGAAAAATAGAATAGTATTTTGGTTTTACTACTTCCCAAATTATTTCTCAATGATATATATGTGTCTCTAAATTCAATCCTTCAATGCAAAAAAAAATGCTTTTCTGATTTCAAACAACAGTTATAACCAACATATCAAAAAGAATAATTACTCAGCATATTCCATATATTCATCACAGACTTTAAAACTCTGTGCTGTAGTCCCCACAGCATGTCACTCTGTTGCAAAGATAAGCTTTTAATATATGAGAATTTTTAGGAGCAATATAAAAAAGTATTCAAGCATAAAATTTTATGGTAATTAGAGGAATTATACGTGGGATTATATTTTAAGTGCTATAAAAATAGTTTGTGGCAGTAGTTCAGGTTGAATAAGGGAGGGAACAAGGAAAAAGATACCTGGGAGTATTTTACCTGCAAGGCCAAAATCCATCACAGATAAATCTTTAAACCAATGACTTAGAGACTCAATTCCTTCTCTACGTCCTGGAATCATTTAAGGCAAAGAACATTAGAATTCTCCATGGTTGTTAATGACCCATTTTTTTGATATATCAACAAATAGTTATTGAGGACCCACAGAATTTTCAGCAGTGGGTCCATGCCCTCATCCAAAGGAGAAACAATAAATCTACAAGCAAACACACAACCTAACTTCAGGTAGTGGGGCTCTGAAGCAAGATAAAGTAGATACAATAAATCTAAAGATTAATAGTAGCATGGTGATTATAGGTAGGATGGGTAGAAATTACTTCTCTCAGAAGTTGTCATTGGAAGAAGGCAGCAAAATAAGTGAGAAGAAGCTATTCTAGGCAGAGAAAATAGCTTGTGCAGAGGGCCCTGAAGTAGGGGTAAGCTTAGCCTGTTAGACTTGGAAAAAATGAGACATACGTGAGAAAAGCAAAGAGTCCTGACAATGTAATGGTTAAATAGTAAGTTGTTAACAGTAAGGTAGTTAGTGCAAGAAACATATAGAGATCTGCTCCCATAAAGATTACAGCCTAGTGTGTGTTATGGAGTTCTATTTTGTCACATTGGGTCACTTAGAATCAACTCCTTAATTGGATGGCACCTGTGGTAGTTACATAATCTGTTGTCAATTTGAGACTTAAGAGTGAAGGGATGGAGTTTAGCCTGTCAATCAGGTTGCGCTTGATGACTTCATTTGGAAGCATTAAGGAGCTAATTAGCTCGCTGGAGGTGAAATATAGCTTCACTCCCTGTGAGACATTACTGGTGATGAGCCTGAGAGAGCTACACTGATGCAGCCAGAGCTCTGGAGCGAGAGGAGCCACATGGAGACTCCTGTCAGTGCTAAGGTGCTTCCACTGCCACTGGATCCACAAGATTTTCCAGTCACTGGCCTGTGTTCTTCCTGCATTCAGCTTCATTGGATGTGTTTCATAAGTCTGAAGAGGAATTTATAGATTGGTATAGGACATATGGGCTAATATCGGACTTATGGACTTGATATGACCTGGGCTGGGATGTTTTCTCAGTATACAATTGCTCTTTTATATAAATCCCTTCCTTATACACTTATAAGTGTCTATGAATTTTGTTTCTCTAGTGTACCCAGACTAACACAGCACCTAACAAAAACAGCAACAAGTGAATCAAATAAAGCCAGATGAGTGAGCAAAAGGAGTATCAGAGGAGATTAAGTGAGAGAGGCACTCAGGAACCAGAAATTAGAGTTTGTAGGCTTATATTTTATTCTGAGAGGGTTAGGAAACCACTAGAAGGTTTAAGAAATCACACTAGTTATTTCATGAGGAATAGACTATAATGTTTAGAAGTAAAATAAAAATCAGTTAGGAAGCTTATCCTTTGTTAGCTGAGATGATGATGGTTAGACTGCAATGGGAATGAGAATGAGAAATGGGAGAGGTTGAGTTAAGTAAAAGAAGACTGTATATGGTGGTATTACTTATTGACGTAGGATAGCTAGTTAAGAAGATGGAACCAGAGAACCAGAATCCCACTAGACGTTTGAGTCTACATGCCTATGACTCCTGGCCCATGGAGTAGTTCAATACACAAGCACAAAACCAACACCTAGGGTTGAATCTAGGCTGGAGATATAAATTGGAAGTTATCAGCATTAGATGGCATTTTAACCTTGGACATAGGGTGTAATATCAGAGAGAGAAAGAAAGAAGTTTGAGGGCATTACCTTTGGGCATTCAAGAATGCAGTACTTAAAAAAGGACAAATGAAACTAGAAACAAAATCTGAAAAGAATAAATCAAATTATTTGGATTACTTATAGCATATTCTAGATGAACTGACATGTGAATTCAAGGTTTCATTGTTTCTGAAGCAGGGCAATGATGTCTCTAGAAATCACTGCTATCAAGTTGATTCCAACTCATAGTGACCTGTAGGATCAAGCAGAGCTGCTCCGAGGGTTTCCAAGGATGTAGATGTTTACAGAAGCAGACTGCTTCATCTTTCTCCCGGGAACTGCTGGTGCTTTTGAACAGCTGGCCTTTCACTTAGTAGGCCAACTCAAAACTCACTACACCACCAGGGCTCCAATGATCTCTCTAGGGGTTATAAAAATTGATACCCAAAAGGCTTTAATACTAAAAGTAAGAACATCTGAGTGTTAAGCATGACCCTTGGAGATAAAAGAAGATGGAGAAAAGAGAGGCAAACTGTAGGATATCTACCACTTCTCAGAGACAGCCTTTGGATTCTATTGAGCCAGGTAGACTCAGAAGCCAGAGGGGTTTGTTCCACAACGGCCATTATAAAACACTGAGCACAAGGAATGCTGTTCCATGTCCCAGTGGAAACGCTAGTGACAGGGTTGCTCTCCCTACTTGTAAACAGAGATGGGTGGGAGATCCTGTATCTTTGGCATGCACACAGGAAATTTCCTGGAGGACACAACAATTATGCCAGGACATATCATAATCTCTTGATATGCCTGTGAGGCAGGTGCATTGAAGAACATAGTAGCCCAGGCTCTAACTCTAAAGCTCATTTAGCTCCTCTTTGGTATACTTCATGAACAACACAGCTGTGTTAGTCTGGGCTGAGTAGAGAAACAGATTCACAGGCCCTCATATGCATGTAAGAAAGGGTTTTATGTAAAAGAGCAATTGTACATTAAGAACACATCCCAGCCCAATCCAGATCAAGTCCATACATCCAATATTAGCCCCTATGTCCAAGACTAGTTCATAAATTCCTCTTTGGACTCATGCAGTCATGCAATAATGCTGAATGCAGGAAGATTGCAGACCAGTGGGTGGAAAGTCATGTGGAGCCAGTGGCAGTAGAAGTATCTCAGCGCTGGCAGGGGTTTCTAGGTGGCTCCTCCAGCTCAGGGTACTAGTATAGCTCCATATGTCTTGTCAGCTGCAATGTCTCCCAGGGGGTGAGCCTGTGTCCCACTTCCAGCGAGCTATTTATCTCTTTAGCATCTCCAAATGAGGTCATCAAGCTGGGACCTGATTGACAGGCTAGACTCCACCCCTTCACTTCTAAGTCTCAAATTGACAACAGATTATGTAACTACCACAACAGCCTACCCAGTTCCTTTATGTGAATCAATACTTTTCTTATTCATATACAACTGACTGACCTGTGTTGAAGAAGGATCCAGTCCATTCTCCGTCTGTGTGAGGAAATACAGAAACAGGTGGAGGCAGACCCAGGGTGCTCCCATCTAGATCCTTAAAGAGATATTTTCTTGGACTTTCACAGTCTGCTTCAGGGCAGATCACTGTTCCTAGGTCTTTCCTGTGAAGGCAGGTAGAAAGCAATGCTCTCATTCCATAATCAACAACAAGAAGAAAACTTACACTCATTACCGATCTTCTGAAAGATAAATAAAACCATGTTAGTGTTAATAATGTGCTGCAGAGATTGAGAATAAAACTCTTCACACAAAAAATTATTGTTCAATTATATGGTCAGCAAAATAATTCTTGATAATTGAATAGGTTAGATATCCGAATATGTGATCTTTACAAAGATACTTAATTTTCTAGGAGGCAAGGTAGAGCAAAATTCTCCTAACGGCAACATCTCTGGTGACACAGTGGCTCAAGGCTTGAGAAGCTAACTACAAGCTGGCTCCTTGTCCATTCCCGTAAAGATTTAGACTCTAAATCTGTCTCAGAAGCTCAAAGGAGCAGTTTTAGTCTGTCCTATAGGGTCACTATGAGTCAGAGTCCACTTGATGCCATGGCTTTGGGTGGGGTTTAACTCTCATATCTATGGAATAGATTATGTTTTCTTCATAGTACTTCAGAGTCTACTAGTAATTTAGAATTCTCATTATAAATACCAATTATATCTGTACTATAGACAAAGCAAAGACAAGTATTCTTATTCAACAAATATCTATTGAGAACACACAAGTGATAGGTTTAGGGGGATAACGGTGATAAACACAGTTCCTGTGCTTTTGGAATTTAAAGTCAAACAGGATGTATAAACAACTATAATAATCCAAACAGAGAATTATAGAGAATTTATTTTACTCCATGGTTCAATTCTGTTCGGTTACATTATTTAATTACAAATTACATTACAAATGTCTATTTGATGCCAGTCATGTGTCAGGTGATAAATAGAGAAAACTTCCGATGCTATTGTCAATTAACTTTATATCTTATTCATCCTATAGGTAGGACACGGCACAGGACAATTGGACAGCAGAAGAAAGTAACAGAATAACACAAAGTTCAAACACAACTGTGACTCAGGAATAGTCATTAAAGGGACTGGTATTAGGTCAAACGTGAACTATTCTCATTAGAATAATTTTTCTTGGTTATGTTTTTCTAATTTCCTACGAATTTTCCTAAAATTAAGATGAAGAAAAAAGGAAACCCAATATCCCTGCCTTTAACTTCCTCACTCCCTTACCACCCTCCCAGGATCAGCAGACTAGCCTGGGCTTCAGCTTCATGTGGTGAAACCAGCAGTACAAGAGGACACCTGGACTCTAGCTAAGCCTCCTAGCATCATGATTTGAAACTTGCATTCATAACTTCTCCCCTTCCTTTAGCTAAAGAAAAGTGCTGATTCCTGATTCAAATGATAAAGAAAAAGACTTTGCCAAAATTTATAAAGCAAAGGGCATGTGTGTAAGAGAAGTAACAAACAGGGTCTTTACATAAAACTACCATGCCTCATTTTTATTCCCATTGCTGATTTTAATATTTTTAAATGTTCAGGGATTTTAGAACAGGCTTTTTTTTTCATAAATAGGACTTATTATCCATACTGATGGTGTAGTGGTTATACGTTGGGCTGCAATCTACAAGGTGGGTAGTTCAAAACCATCAGCTACTCCTTGGGAGAAAGATGGAGCTTTCTAATCACTTTAAAGCTATAGTCTTTGAAATTGATGGGGACAGTACTACCCTGTCCTTTAGGGCCGCTATGAGTTGATGCTGGTTCAAGGTCAGTAAGTTGTTGTTGTTTAATCCGTATAAAGAGAGTCCTGGTTGCATAGTGCGTTGCACATTGGTCTGCTAACCCAAGGTCAACAGTTGAAAATTACCAGTACTTTAAAAAGGAAAGATGAAGCTTCCTGTTCCACTAAAGACTTACAGCCTCAGAAAAGTGAGGGAGAAGTTCTACTCTGTCCTATAGGGTTGCTGTGGCAACTCTATGGAAGTGGATGTGTTGTTGGTGTTTGTTACACATAATAAAAGTACCTGCGTTGTAAAGGAGAAAAGTAGAACTTGTTTCTGTCTTTGACCATTAGCATCCTGGTCCTCTCTGCTGTTATTGGCTGCATGATCCCAGTGTTCTCTCCATTTGCCAGGATGCAAACATCTATGTCATCGCTATAGCAGCTCTTCACAAAACTAGAAAAGGTGACACCTGAAATTAAAAATGGAAACATAGATCATATAAATCACCAACTATGAACACAGAGTACACAACATAAAACTCTGATAATAATTTATGGGGAAGAGTTAGTTTAAGGTACCCAGGGTATTTCTAGGAGCTTGCAGAAATCTTTACTTAAAATACCTGTAATTGCTCAACCAATGGACACTATACAAAACAGAAGAGTATTCTAAAATATTAAAGTCTTAAATTTTTTCCTGTTAATCATAGATTTTATCAGAATCCACAGACTTTATAGAATCATAAGTCAACTAACAGAGAGACCATGTAGATGATGAATGAGTCCGATAATACAAAAGGGATCTGAAAGCGAGGGACTGCAAAGTGATGCTGTAACATTATTTGTAATCCTTGATGTGCCACCAAGTGCCAAGCAACCCCACACAAGGAATACTTTTCACGTCTTAGTCTTCTTAATTGTTTAATGGGAACAATAACACCTAAGACAAATACAGATCAAAATTTATAAATCAATTATACAGCTCATACTCAATAATTGCTATGAAAGCTTTTCAAAATGTATCCAGCAGACCTTATACGGAGGAAGTCACTTTCATGGTCAACCCACATTGTAATTCCCACAAAGATTGTTATTTGGACAGCAAGTGTCAGACTACACTGTACCATTTGTTTGATATCATGTTAAAATGCCATAAAAGATTCTAGGCACAGAGAAACACAACAAAGTTGCTCCGATAATTCTTAGCAGCCTACCTTGAAGTTTCATGATTCCTGGGACTGAACAACTATTCCTCACTCGGTGCCATGGTTGCTGAGGCCACCGGTTTGGCTCTGAGGTGAATCCAGGCCACAGAATTCCAACTCTACCTCCTCTGGGATTGGAAGGAGCACGGTCCGACGCTGTTAAGTTGGCTGAGCAAGGCTCAACTCGGTCTTGGATGCAATCAAAAGAGGAGCTCGTGGCCACGATGACTGAATTCCGAAGCACAATCTGAGCACTGGTGATGCTGCTTTGGGGAGCAGAGGATGTATGCACTACTGCCAGAAGACCAATGACATTGTCAACCAGAGTGATGTTCTCTAGCTCCACACTATGCTCCACGTGCAACATGGCACCGTAATCAAAGTTCTTGAAAGCCAGGAAGCCTGAGATTCCCGTACAGTTGTCCATTCCAGTTTCCTTATAGACGTGAAGGCCGTGGAGACATGAATGGACCACATTGTCCGACCAAGGCCCTTCCGGAAGGGAACAGCTGTGGCCTCGGATGTGAAAGCCAAGCCTCTCAGAACCAGCCACCACGTTGCCATGGAGGTCGACATCCTTTGCCCGGTTCGCTTTGATTCCTGCCACCCAAACCGTGTCCTTCGTTGACTGGGTTGTGAGAACCACAAGGTTATTTGTAAGACAATAGGCTTGGCCCTCCAAATCAATGCCATGGCCAGCTGTGCCAAATACTACGTTGTCATTCAAAATAATGCCTTGACTGGCACTGGCACGGATGCCTCCGCTGCAGCTCTGGTGCACTGTCGAAGATGTGATCCAGGAGCCGACGGGCACGTTGGTGAATTCAATGGATGAATACTCTGGTGTTCCAAAGTTCTGTATTTCCACATTTAAAAGCTGAAGGACACCTGTAAAAAAAACAAACAAACATGTATACTATTCAGACACTTTCTTCTTCACCAAAGGCTAAAGAAAAATCCATTTGTCTTCATTGGAGCAGGACAATTTTTAGTTAAATTCATAGTTCATTCCTAGCATTGGCATTGTTTTTCATGCCACTGAGGTTCACTGACAAAATATGGGCCATCAGCAATATCACCTTGATGCCTTCAAAGGTTTCATGCCCAAGCTGAAGAGACTGACGATAGGATGGAGCCAGAAGAGAGCGCAGATGAGCAGAGATGGACGTTGGAGATGGGCACAGTAAGAATCTGTGCATTTGTCTGCAGGGCTGCATCCCAAAAGTAATGGGGATAGTGGCTCATGTCCCTTCATTTTCAAATCACCCCTCCCACTCCATAGTTCAGTGACCCCATGGGAAAAGATGATAGCCATCACACAGAGATATTGCATAAATGACCAAGTAGCCAACTCTATCAAGTATTGCAGGCATTTCTGAAAATAGTACAATGTAAGTGTGAAAGTCACTTTGGTCCAATAATGTACAGAACTATTATATTCAATAAACATTTCTTGATCAAGACATGATAGAAGCAATAACTATTTCAAAAACAATTTCAAGATCTTGTGATTGTTTTTCTGTATTTTCTCCTACCTACACCATATTCCAAGTTTCGCTTTTATAATAATAATGGTTTCTACATCTGTTATGTCAGTAGAAGACAGTTAATTATTAAGTCTCATTTAGAGTTGTCATTTGTACTATTTTAAGAATATATTATTAAAATACAATATAAAATGCATTAAATAGGTGAACTAAAAATATACTGGTAATCAGAATATATTATTAAAATACAAAATAAAATGCATTGAGTAGGTGAACTAGAAATGTACTGCTAATAAATCAGTGCGTATACTCTTGGTAAAACATATAACAATATAACTACAGTGAAAATAAGGCCAATTGATAACCACAACACTAACTAGCATTTAGGACAGTGCAAGGAACTGTTTTAAATCACATAAATGGAAATACATATGTTTTAGAAAATATATAATTTTCATATAAACATATGAGGTAGATATGACCATTACCTGAACTTTCCAGGTAAGAAAACTGAGGTGAAGGAGAGTTAACAACAAACTAGAATTCTGGCTTAGGCATGTGGATACAGAGACTGTCGATCATACACTTATGGATGGGCATTGGGGAGAGCATGAGATTTGCTGATCTTGAAATACGTGGAGTTGTTTTAGACTGGGATTTAGATGATAGACCATGATCAATAATGAAATCATGTACGCTACTTTGTCTGTGTCTTTTCCATTGAGCTTTTTCTGTTTTGTTTTGTCATTGTTGTTGGGATTGTTTCTTGCTTTTGTTCTGCATATTTTCTTGTATATGAAATCTAAGATAGGCAAATCTATAGAGAGAGTAATTGGATTAATAATCACCTAGGGTTATGGCAGGGAAACTAACACCATCACTAGACGAAAGAAGAAACAATTCAAAATTGATCGTGGTGATGATTGCACAACTTCTTAATGTAATTGAACTATTGAATTAAATGACATGTTGATTATGTGTCAATAGAACTATTTTTAAAAAGAAATGACTAGTACACATACAACGAATGAATGAATGTGTATCAAAGGAATGCTATAAAGTTATTTCTTTCATTAACTTTGAGGGGTTTGTACATTTGAAGTTTCTGTTTTACTATGTTTTAGTAACGGTATTTCAAGCCCAAAGTAGTCAAGGCAAACCCTCCACCTTCCTCACTCTTTTTTCATTTTGGAACCTAGAATCCCAGAAAAATCAGCTGATGGGAAGCAGGAAACCCAGTAGGAAGGGCCGGGGAAGTGAAAGATCACCTCTCTGCTTGTGGCCAGATTGCAGCAAACCTAAAATTCTTGGCTGACAGGGCATGCTGAGGTCCTAGCAGAGGTATAGAAATATCCTCAGGAGGATAGAGCATCCTAAGGCTGTTTGCAGCGGACAACTTTTTTTTTTTAACATAACTCAAGCATCCTTCACAAATAACAAATAGCAGAAAGGGATGTTGGAACTGTGTCCCTGGAATATGGATTCAAATGACACCAAATCCAAATGTAAATCTACACAAAAATAGCTTGTTTTCTAGAATAATGTGTGGTTCTAGGATTTATATCAGGGTACTGTATCAATAGCATTGTAATTAGTGTTTTTATGTCCTATTTGCATGGTTATGCTCGTAGTTTGTGTCCATGTTAACCTATTATCCAAACTGACCTTGAGAAGAATTAAGCAATAATTATGCTGACACATCTTTTTATTTCTATTTTTCTTCTGTATTCTTTTTCTTTCTTTTTTTATTAAGCATTTTACTGGGGGCTCATACAACTCTTATCACAATCCATCCATCCATCCATTGTGCCACACACATTTGTACATTTACTGCCCTCATCATTCTCAAAACAGCTCCTCATTTTTCCCCTTCCTCCCCCACCCTTCCTCCCTCCTTCATGAACCCTTGATAGATAGTTTGTAAAGTATTATTATTTTGTCATGTCTTTCACTGCCCAGTGTCTCCCTTCACCCGCTTTTCTGTTGTCCGTCCTCCAAGGAAGGGCCTATGTATTCTAATTGCAAATCACAACTCTGAAAAACTTTCTAGCAAGTTCAGTGCAATTTGCTGGATGCTCGTGGTCAGAGGAGGTGAATGACAACTCTTTTCAATAAATGTAGGGATCCTACATCCTGGCTGGCTTTTCTGACCTATTCAACACCCACCGATGGCATCCTTGATCTACGCCAGCAGATCAGGGTCATCTAGCAATCAGAGTAGGTGATAGCTGAAGAAGCTAGGGGTCCAAATGCAGTGTGGGAACATGGATTGGATCCTGGAACGGAAAAAGAACTATACTGGAAAAACTGATGAAATCGAAAGGTGAATTATTTTATTACATGTATTTGACAATATGAATTATTTTATTATGTTTACCATACAGATAATCATAGGTCTTATTTCAAAAGTATCACATTATAAGGTCATGGATAAAGTGGAGGGAAATGTGGAACAAAACTCAAAACCATAAAAATGACTATAGGCTTATTGGTCTATCAGAGGCTCAAGGATCACCTAAGAAGGTGACCCTTAGTCATCCTTCAGATCTGGAATTGAACTTACCCCTGTGGCTCAGTTTTCAGTCCCAAACTAGACCTCAATCATAGGGAGGTAGTCACTTTAGAATAACCAACCATTCTTTAGTGGGTTTTGTTTGTTTGCTTGCTTTTGTTTTTAATTCATGGGCTTTGGTGCCAATATTGATTTTGAATCTTTTCTCTGCCACTGAATGGTTTTTCTTATGCTTCATTTATGTTATCCGTACACATTTACTGAATACCTAATAATCAGTGATGATCGTGCTATAAAAAGAGGTGAACAACATAATGTGGTCTTCAAGAAGCACAAAAGTTCATGACTACACAAATAATCAAGTTTAGCACAAAATCTTTTCTATATATGACTCAACTCCACAAAAAAACAGGATGAAAAGGTCTCTTTCATATGAACATTGTAGACTAAATGAAATAATATTTGGAAAACAATGATCGCTTCTGACCTAGAAAGAGCATTCAGTACAGTTTCTCTTTCCCTCATTCGGGGATGATGTAAGGAGCCCTGGATGAGCAATGTCAGAGCTTCAGTCTCAAGTCAACCTTGGTATTGGTTCAACTCCAGCTTGCTAGATAGTTCTAGGCATTGCTTCTATGCTGTTCCTGTAACCCTTCTCCAGCCTGACCTCCACATCCGGGTATCTAGGACACTGTTATGCTCTCCTGTTCCTGATTCTCTGCCTCAAACACTGCTGGATGGTTTCATAGCTTCAGAACCAGTAGCCAGCTTGTGTTTGTCTTCTCGGGTTGGGTCTCTGAACCTCAATACTTCTGTGAGGTCATTTTCTCTGAGGACAGTCCTAGGCAACGTAGGATATTGAGCTACAGCGCAGAAATCTACAAGCTAGGTGCCTGAAGCAACCCCCATGGGCAACAAGCAAGAACAACTCCAGACATCGCCATGTGTCCTCTGGGAGGCAAAAATCACCATGATTGAGAATTTATGGAAGTAGAAATTATATAAGGACAGAGAACTCTTCTATGTACTGGAAATCCTGAACTTTTGTATTAAAGTTCAAACACTATCCTTGATCAAACTAGAGAAATAGATACTAGATGAGAGTGCTCCATTCTTCCTGTACTTGGGAAGTGGCTAGACCTTTAGTCCAAGCCTGTCTTTATTATGCTCTTGTGCCTTCTAAGATAAAGCCATGTAGTAGCTTTATCAATAAGATCAAATTTATTTAGTCAGGAAACAACTTTGGAATAATATTTAGGGAACTCAAGTTTAAGAAACAAAGTCTTAATCAAATAACTTTGTGGCATTTCAAAAGGGCTAAAATTGGAAAGAAATGAGAGAGATTAAACTGATCCTTAAAGCAGTCTGGAATATGGAAATCATTTTTATTTAAATTTATGCTATTAATTTATAGCATGAGCTAATGCCTGCCATCAGATATAGCATGCTACTGGGAAAGAGTAATAGGAATTCAGGAAAGAGATAAAATTCAAGTGGTCATTAAATCATCTATAATTTCAAAGCAGAGGAAATTTCACATCTGCTGAAGATGTTTTCTTGGAGGGAACATTGTGCATATGTGCCAATGACTAGTATATTATTTTAACATCACACTGATAATTAAGCACACATTAGGACTGAAAATGCATAGTATCTCAGAAACCAAAGGAGCCATCTGATTCAGACATTCTGTTTTACAAACAAAGTATCTCATTGGAAACATCTAATTGTCCCAGATGAGTCGTGGCCCATTGGTAATGCTTGCGGGTGTAGTGTGCCATTGAGTTGGTTGCAAGTCACCGTGACTTTGGGTGGAACAGAATGAATACCGCCTGGTCCTTCACCATCTCCACAACTCTTCTTACACTTGAACCCATTGTTGCAGCCCCTGTGTCAGTCTCTCTTGTTGAAGACCTTAAAATGGCATTTACCTGAAAATTCTCCTCTGCCGGGCTTCTTAAAGGACCCCACAAGTACTCTCCCCTTGCATGCTAGATCAGACTGAAGCTGTATATTTCGGGACAACAATCCAACCGCAGCAGCCAGTGGAATGTACCGGCCATCTTCTGTAACATGGGCACTTCCTAGAAAGAAGAAAAAACCAACAACAAAAACATTAGAAACCTATTTCAGGAAACTGCCAGCCTGGGACCCCGCAAACTTGATAAATGAAAACACTCGTGCCCTTTGGAAGTCCCACCAACAGGAAGGGCTGTCTTTCCTCGGGCATTCTCCACAACTGTCAGCTGAGAAATGAAAAGCCCATTCACACGTCTCTCTTTGGGATCAGTGTGAGAGTGTGCAAGCAAGAATTCATTTCTTCGCAATAACAGTGGGTCCAGGGACAGTCCACTGGTGCAGAAAGCCAGGGCAGACATGGCTAATTGGCAGGGTCCCCAAGCTCCTTACAAAATGCATCAGCGTGAAGCTTCAGCGCTGGGTTCATTTTTGTCTATGGACCACTTTTCCGGGATCAAGGGATTCCAGATCAAGTAGGATGGTGACAGCGCATGTCAAGGCAGCAAGGTATTAAGAGACAAAGACACGGAGAAGCAGCTGCAGTAGCAGCAGCATCCTCTCACAGCAGGTCTTAAACTTAGCTCTGCTCCCGAACAAGCTTCCTCAGAAGTGAGAACTGAATCAGCTTATGATATCATTTCCCTGTTTGGTTTGCTAGTTCTCTTGGATCTTACTGGCACTGATTTCCGAAGATTCCACTTTTCTTGCTACAGTTTTTAAAGTCAGCTTCTGGGAAACCGCTTTGGATATCTTTTGTTGAGCGCATGCATTTCCTTGCCCCTTTCGTTCCATGTTTTACTACTTATTAGGTCCATTTCCTGGATCATATTTAGACTCAACCAGGAAGCTCAAAAGTATTTTTATTTATATGCAATGCATTTTTAAACTGTGTGTAGTATATAAAATATTAAGTGCATTTCTCTTTAAAGGAAATAGAATTGTTTATGGTTTGGGTTTTTCATAGTCGTTGTGGTTGTCATCATTAATAAATCAAATATGATTCCTGTTAGGAGGAACATGTGCCTAGATAGGGGAACTGACATAACCTTTTACAACCATTTCTTCATCCTAAATGACTACTGGACTCAATGTGCCAGGGTAGGAATTGGAAATTGGCTACCCACGAGTTTTATTCTGACTGAGCCATGTGATTTCCCATGTGTTCCTGGACAAGAGCCCCAACCCTTCTGCTTTGGGACTTGCCGTTAAAAATAAAAGGAAAAAAAAAATCTCCTCACTTGCAAATTTTCTTTAAAAATTAGGCAATAAAATTAGTGAAGGAATTGAGATAAAGCCTCTCAGGATGAGTCTCGGCCTCCAATTGAGTACCACCACCACCTCCCCCCAGAATTGCAATCAGATCCACAGTACTTCAGCAGGTGGCTGAAGCCATGCTTTCTGGTCCATGCAGTTTCTGGAACCACCAAATCAAACTCTTACCCAGGTGCCGGTGTTTGAGATGTTCTTGAATCCTAACTTGGTGGCCCGTGACTTCTTTCACAGTGAGGACTTCTGCTTCATGAGGTTCATAAGAGGAGGAGCTAAGCACGATCTTGTCGCTGGGTCGCCAATCCACTGCGTCCTCTACTATAATCCTGTAACAGCATAAAGATAGTATCAAGTATACTGACAGCGCAGCTCTGGTCACCTACTTACTCCACAGAGTGATATCAGCATCCAGTGTGGCAAGCAATTCCAACAAGGGGACTGGAATAGGCATGACAAAGAGAAAGGGCTTCTGGGAAATGCTTAATTTTAATGGAGTCCACTTGTGGCCCATAAGTAGATATAGTATAGAGATAACAATAATATTCTATGAGATAAAAGAACAAGAAAACCTGAAAATCCCAGGGTTTAGTACACACCTTATACTCAGGATGACCTTGAACAGCAATCTCGCTCGTGAACTGGGAAACTGAACAGTAAATACATTTAAGAAGGGATCCTTTTTCTCAAATATTATGAAGACCTATAAAGCCACTCTAAATGATCCCTCCCCATGATGCAAAGCTCAGGCCGTTAGGGTCAGTTGGACCCTGAAGATCAAACTCTGAATTCAGTGGTGCTGCTATTTATGTACTAGCTGGATGACCTTGAGAAGTCACTTCGCTGGTCTGAATTTCATAGGCTTATCTGAAAACCGAATGCTACGTAAGCCTTCCTCCAGTTTCCCAGTACAGTCCTCAGGACTAAAGGATATGTTTTCCTTGGTTGGACTATGTCCCAAGCCTTATGCTGTCATACCATTACAGAACTATCAAGGTTTCGCTTGGTGTGGTTTTTTAAACTCATAAGTAACAAAATTTCTACTCAGTCTTTCACTGCCGCCTAGCTTTCCCTAGTGAATATGACTGCTTTATTCTCCATTCAGTCATTGCCCTCATCCACGGTCTCAGTTAGTTTTAATTGCCTACCTCTTTAACTAATGCTCAAATTTTAGCAGGCTTTGACAGTAGATTTGCCCCTACTGGTAAATATTTATCCAGGCAACAGAGTCTGTGTATAGGCCATTCAATTGCATTGACAATTTTGATTTAGGCATTCTAGTAGGTGTGAGAAACATAATAACAAGTAAAGCATGTGTCACTTGCATTTAAAAAATGACAACTTAGATTTTGGACTAGTCTACATCCTTAAAGTTGTGTGTGTTGGAGCAGGGGAGTCTTGGTTGGGGGGTGCTGTCGGGGGTGGGGGACTGTCAAGGTAAGAGAGGTGTTCACAATTGTATAACAATGTATTAAAACCAAATAAGGAAACAAACAAAGGATAGTATTCATGGGTCAATAGGATGAATCAAATATATTAATTATATGATTAATTCATCTGAGGCTAAAAACAGAGAGAAGGGAGCCAAAAGTCACAGAGGAAGACAATTGTAAGGTGATACAATTTTAACAAGTGAATTCAGTATTAGCTCTGTTCGTGATTTGTTTCCACGTTTTAGGGAACTCGTGGTTACAGAGCACTGGAGCAACAGCGCACTTTCAAAAGGAGAAACTAAGCGTGAAAGAGAGTAAATGAGAAAGTTCAAGACAGGAGCGCTGGTCCAAAGAAGACTCCTGAAGACTTTTTCCAAGACCAGTGGTACCACACAAGTTGACTAGTATGATCCGCAGGTTTTCACCTGTGAACTGGCAACAGTAAACTATACATGCTGATTCTAAATGCTGCCATGATAATTTATGAAATAATAAAAGCACTATAATCCACATAAGTAATTAGTAGGTATTCATTACTATGTATATTGTATCAAGTGGTGTGTTATTAGAAAAACTATTTGAGATGTACAGTGAAACCTGTGATCACCAGATTTTGAGGTGACTGCTTGTTTTGGGGGGTCTCTCAATTGGTCTGCCTTTGATAAGGTATAGTCTTAGCACTTTTCTATCATTCTCAATTAGTACTAGGGTTTGAGTTTTCCTTCTCTGATAGGATTTTTGGCTTTATACAGATTTCTGTTTTGACAGCTTAGACTATTACTAAAGCATTAAGGATATATAAATATGCCCCGTTTTTTAATAAAGACAATGCATGACCATAAGGTAGAACACACAAAAGGTCATGTTATCATATTAGCCCACTTATGGGTGATGGACTTATTGGTGATTTTCATGTAAACGTAAATTCCCTAAACTTACAATGGTATATATATATTTGAAAAGAAAATAAGCCCATGGGTATAATGTTATATCAAATTCAATTAGCAGTACAAAGAGGCTTTTACAAGTTCATGGAAAAGTACAATTAAAAGGTAATGGAATATTTCCATGATTTTTGTAAGGCTCCTCTGATCACTTAAGTTACCCTTCTACTTCATCGTCTACATGACCTAGATACTATCTTTTTTATTCATAATATTGCTCAATAAAACTCTTCAGATAGTTGGTCACCATAATGTTCTGGTAAATTCCATGAAGAGATTAAAGGTTATTCTTGACAAGTCCCTGATGTAAACACATTCCTTTGGTCAGGTGAAACAACGTAGTCTCCCAAGACAGAGTTATGTGTTTCTTAAACATCACTTTAAAATAGCATGACCCTTAATCTTCGCTTCACTCACTTCTTCTTTAAAATGAAGATGCATGTCACTGCCTGCACTGAGTGTTCCTTTGGGATGCTCGATCCCCCCTCGGTATTCCTGTGCTTTGACAAAGCTAACACCACCGCCCTGTGGTCCATAATGTGCTCTTGTTCTCTGAGGTTACTCAGTGTTGACATTGGTTGTTCGTATGGAATGAAAATAGGTCTTTCTTGCTATACAAAACTGAGAGCTCTTGGCACGGTTCTAGGCAAAGAGTAAAAGAAGCCACTGAAAGTATTAATCAAAACTTTGTATTAAAATGGAATGAACTGATCCATTTTTCCCACTTATGTTTCCAAAGCCTAGTTCATGAAAATGTGTCTACACTTTTGTAGCTGGGGGTGCGAGACCTCATGAGGACCCCATGATCACGTCAAAAAACATTCTACCATCGTGATGTCCATGGAACAATAGTGATAACTTCAGGGAACACTTGTCGAGCCATGATCGGTTGGACCTTTGGTTCTTCTAACAAAGTACAAGTCTTCCTTAGACTCCAATATCCACTCTTAGTCTGAGTCTTCATTATGGTGATTGTTCAAGCATTTCAAAAAACCCTAGGCTACAAGACTGCTCAACTCCAATGTTCCCCTGCTTCTGATTGATAGTAATGAGAGTTCTAAATTAGGATAGGCTACAGGGAAGAGGAGAGATCTGCTGGTCATTCTAAAGAAAACATACCTAAAAAATAAATAAACAAAATTAAAAGAGCTGTTTGTGTTACTGTATCTAAATGAAAAACATATGAGAAAGCCGAGGAAATTACAAATAATCACTTTGGAACTCCTGTTAAAGATAACTTTAAAAAAAATACAAACAACATATCAGCACAGATTCCTTTATTTTTCCATTCATAGTTGACCTGGTTTTAGGAAAATATAATACCTACTGCTTCAAAGAACATAATTACAAAGATAAAAATGGAATACACGCTTCCAAATTTGACTTAAAAGTTTTCACAACCATGTCTGAAGCATTCGTATATAAGCACCAACAATTTAAATAGATTTGTTAACTAAATTCTAAGTTAGATCTTAATTGATAATAGTGGCATTTTACATAGTGGCATTTCACTATGTACAGACTCAGAGTTGACAAATCCCAAATTTTTCTTCGCTCAAGGACCAAGAATGGCCACAGACTTCTGAACTCTCTACTAACATTGAGGCTTAAAAAAAAAAAAAAAAGTATCCCAGTTTAAATATTTTTCCCAGTTCCTTTCAAATGCGATGAGAATGCTCCGACTGACTAGGACTGTGTTGGTATTGACAAAATCAAATTTGATACTAATGATGATAGAAACAATACTCTGAATCAAACTCACTGCTACCAAGTCAGTTCTGAGTCATAGGGAGCCTATAGGGCAGAGAAGAACTGCCCCGGTGGGTTTCCAAGACTGTAACTTTTGGGGGAAGTAGGGAGGTTCATCTTTTTCCCAAGGAGCCGCTAGTTTTTAAACTATTAACCCAGTGATTAGTAACCCGAGGTGTAATCTGCTATTCCAGCCAGGGTCCCATGATGGCAGCAATGCTAGTTATTAAACCCACTGTCCTAGAGCTCATTTCAACTCAGAGTGACCCGGTAGGACACAATAGCATATCACACGGGGTTTCCAAGGTTGTAAGTCTTTATGGAAGCAGACTGTAAGCTCAGGAGCTGGTAGGTTTGAATTGTCAACCTTCCAGTTAGCAACTAGATGATTAGCCACTGCTCCACAAGGGCTCCTTAATAATCGTTTATTAAAAAGAAAAACAAAACAAACAAAAACACTGAAATTAAGCTAATTCTCACAAACCAAGATCCTACATAGGATTTTCAAGACTGTAAATCATTATGAGAGCTGACAGCTCCAATTTTTTTTTCTGTGAATTGGCTAGGTAGGATTGAAATATTGGCTTTACAATGAGAAGTCCATCACTTAACTCATAAGGCCAAGAGGGCTCCTTAAATAATGGGAAAAGTGGATATCACGTATTTGTCTATGTGGCCCTTCTTCTCCCTTATTCTGGAGCATTCACGGTGTCTCTTTTGAGAATTTCTCTCCGTATCTAGTAAACTAGGTGAAACGAGTGAGAACCACAGATTATAATAACACAAAACATAGCCATGGAGTTCACCCTGTGTTGGAGCAGAACTTGTCTCCAATAGTTTTCCGTTGAAACTAAGAGAAAAGAGCAATTTCCTCTTTCATCTGGAGAAACTAGGAAGAGCCCCCTAACTCTGGGGTCGCTTGCCACCGACATTGTTTATGGAAGTTCCATAGGTGATCTTGAGCTCTTGCCAGTAAATGCATAAGATCACCAACTCTACATTTTTAACTGAAATTAAAGTGATTTTATAATCATGCAGTTTAAGTAACAAGGAAAATAAAATTCACTAATTCCTGACATTGAGATACAAGAGTCATTTATTAGACAATACAGCAGTGAGCAAGATGCCCATCACGTTCTGATTTGCAGAAAATAAGCATAAATTAAATGGTGCCTGTGCTAGTTAAGGTTGTGTGTCAACTTG